AAGATTTATTTAGAGAGGAAGTTTCGCTGAATAACTGCCTTCCTGAAAGGCCGAGAGAGTGTGACTTGCTCAAAGTGGATCTTCGTGGCTGAGCAGGAATTCAAACCCAGCTCTCCTGGAATCCTGGTAAAGCACCCAAAGCATGCACCTTTGTTGTTGTTGTTGCTACTTCTGCTGCTGCCTGCTTTCAAGTCCTTTCCGACTTATGGCAACCCTAAGGCGACCATTTCCTGAGGTTTCCTTGGCAAGATTTGTTCAGAGGGGGTTTGACATGGCCATCCTCTGAGGCTGAGAGAGTGTGACTTGCCCAAGGTCACCCAGTGGGTTTCCATGGCCAAGTGAGGATTCGAATCCTGCTCTCCAGAGTCATAGCCCAACACCCAAACCACTGGCTCTCTAATGCTGACAACCAAAAAAAGGACTGATTCAGAGGAGGTTTTGCATTGGTTTCCACAATTGCTAGTGGATCTATGAAAAGGGATCTTGTAGCCCCTTTGAAAGAAAGAAATTGGCAGCATCATGAGCTTTTGTAAACTAAAATCTACTTCCTCAGATGTACAGTATATGCTCCTGCTGCCAACTTCTTTCTTTCAGTCAGTCTCAAAAGTGCTACAGGATCTCTCCACATACTGATTCTACAGACTACACTGCTATACTGTATCTGTGAATGGATCATACCAATAAAGTCCAAGGCTGAGCAGGGAATTCGAACCCTGGACTCCTGGAGGTCCCAGTCTTAAACCCACCCACCCCTCAAAACCCAGGACACCATACTAACTCTTCCTCCCAATAATGTCTCCTGAGTTGGAGAATTTAGGTCCAAAACACCCTGGAGAAATCATCCAGATGGGGACTGCTTCAAGGGCCCTGGCTCAAAGATAGGGAATTCTTTAGTTTTGTGAGACACTGAGCTTTCTCTCTCAGAGAGCTCTGGAGGAGGGGGAATCACAAGAAACTACAACTCCCAGGTTTCCCTAAGCCCTGAGCCAGGGCAGTTTAAGCAGTCTCAAACTGGATGATTTTACCATGCTAGTCAAGGGTAAACATGACCAGCATCACAATTTAAAATGGGGAAAAATAGAAAAAATTCTCGTATCTCAGTAGGATATCAGTAAAAGTGGTTGACAATAAGATATGATGAAAATATTTATTTCTAAATGTGATTTATTGATATCTATTGATACAGATATTTATCTGTAAAGCTTTAAGGTTTTAAGGTTGTCAATAGTATTGTTGTCAATACTATG